CGGGAAACTTGCATCTGTTACATGGGCAGCCTTGTATCTCTTGGTCCCTACTGTGCAGCAGGCTGCTGTCCTCCAGGGATGCCGGATTTTGTGTCTGTGAGCCTGTGTGTGCATATTTTCTCTCTTTTTCTTTTTCTCCCTAGACCTCCTCACTCAGAAGTGCCTAAGAAGACAAGTTTGGTTGTAAGAAAAGAGCTGGACATGTCTGAGGGGTTCACAACCTGGGAGTTGGCTGTCAGAGAAATGACACGTAGCTAAATTGTCTTTAACACAGCATATCTGGAAACAAACCTATTTATAAAGCCCGAAAAGTCTAGTGTTCAACTTTTTACAGCTTACCTCTCATGACTTGGCAAGTTTTGCAGCAGGCAGACTGGGATGACGGTTTTAGGAGAGCAGAGTGAACAAAGGAAAGAAATTGACCGGTTTGCACTTGAATGAGAAGTTTCAGTTCTGGCCATGGGAGTTCTTATGTGCCCATTATCACCCACCTGTGGGCTGGGCAGGACAAAGGGGCAAAACTGATTCGCAAGAGGAGCATACATTCCTCAAAGGCTGAGTTAATATTTACTTACTGAGCCTCAATGAATACATCTCCAGAACTTTTTATAAGCTTTTTCAGCCCTCTTGGGGTTGCCTGAAAAAAAGAAAGTTGCCTCTACACTGCATAGCTTCTACACAACCGTGAGTTCAACATGGTGAAGAAATGCCGACACCAAGTGGGAACACACAAATAAAAGGATCTACTGAGGCCAGGCGTGGTGGCTCATGCCTGTAATCCCAGCACTCTGGGAGGCTGAGACAGGTGAATAACCTGAGGTCAGGAGTTTGAGACCAGCCTGGCCAACATGATGAAACCCCGTCTCTACTAAAAATACAAAAATTAGCCGGGTATAATGGCACACGCCTGTAATCCCAGCTGCTTGGGAGGCTGAGGCAAGAGAGTTGCTTGAACTCGGGAGGCAGAGGTTGCAGTGAATGGAGATTGTACCACGCACTCCAGCCTGTGTGACAGAGTGAGACTCTGTCTCAAAAAAAAAAAAAAAAAAAAAAAAATCTACTGAACATATCCAGGACACTGTAGATTGTGACCTTACCAAGAATTCAAAATCAACTTCTATACTGGCACTCTCTTGACAATGGTTTTATCTCTTATGATTTAAAAATCCATTCCATTTTAAAATGTCAGTTTGGGCTAGGTGTGGGGTGGCTCACGCCTGTAATCCCAGCTCTTTCGGAGGCCGAGGTGGGTGGATCATGAGGTCAAGAGATCGAGACCATCCTGGTCAACATGGTGAAAACCCGTCTCTACTAAAAATACAAAAAATTAGCTGGGCATGGTGGCGCCTGCCTATAATCCCAGCTACTCAGGAGGCTGAGGCAGGAGAATTGGCTGAACCCAGGAGGTGGAGGTTGCGGTGAGCCGATAAAAAAAAAAAAATGTCAGTTTCATGATATCCTTTCATTAAGAAAAACCCTTTCTATTCTAATAAACTATTGGCTGGAGTTTCTTTTTTTTCTCTGCTTTTGACTAATGAGTGTAATTACTTCCATTTGCAAGCTCTGCCCTTCTCATCAACTTTGTATTTTAGACAAATCTATTGACTGCCTGTCTTCTCTCGGCTGTCATTGTGATGATCAAGGAAGATGAATAGGTGATATTCCAATGGAAATATTCCAAGGCATCAAAGCCATACCCCAAATGGAAAAAAAGAGAGCACTGCAGGCCAGAAACTTTAATAATATTATAACTGTATTTTTCTTATTTGTAGGGGGCAGAGATTTGGGGAGATAGAATTATGAATGTGTGTTAAAATAAAGCCAAATTGTCCAGGTGCGGTGGCTCAAGCTTGTAATCCCAGCACTTTGGGAGGCAGAGGCGGGTGGATCATGACGTCAACAGATCGAGACCATCCTGGTCAAATGGTGAAACCCCGTCTCTACTAAAAATTCAAAAAATTAGCTGGGCATGGTGGCGCGTGCCTATATAATCCCAGCTACTCAGGAGGCTGAGGCAGGAGAATTGCCTGAACCCAGGAGGCGGAGGTTGCAGTGAGCCAGGATTGCGCCATTGCACTCCAGCCTGGGTAACAAGAGTGAAACTCTGTCTCAAAAAAAAAAAACATAAAATAAAATAAATAAAGCCAAATGTTCTGAAGATAATGTAATTTATTCAATATTATTTCAAGTCAATATTTGAAAATATTTTTAGAAAGACTAACATGTTCAAGCTTAGGTGGATGGAACATTCGTTTAGAGAATCTGGCATCAATTTTTCAGCTGACCTTTGCCCTTGAACTTTTCAGCCATCACAGGGACTGCTAATCTGTTGATGTTTCAGCAAATGTTCACTCTGTCCTGAGTCTACTTTTACTACCTTCATTCTTCTTTCTCCATCCCTTTCCGTTCCTATCCCCTACCCTGTCTCTGCCCTGCCACCTGCTTGGTTGCTGCTTCTGCTGCCAGGTAAGGGCCAGCCACCTGAGAGGCTCCCACAGGCCTCTGAACATGAACTCCAGGCTGAATGGGCCTCAGCACAGTCCACTCACTTGCGATGGAGAAGTTAAGATTCTGCTACTTTAGCAATCATCACATAGGCATGCCTGCCTGCCTTCCTTCCCTCCCTCCCTCCCTCCTTCCCTCCCTCCTTCCCTCCTTCCTTCCCCCCTCCTTCCTTCCCTCCCTCCCTCCCTCCTTCCTTCCCTCCCTCCCTCCCTCCTTCCTTCCCTCCCTCCCTCCTTCCTTCCTTCCCCCCCTCCTTCCTTCCCTCCCTCCCTCCCTCCTTCCTTCCCTCCCTCCCTCCTTCCTTCCTTCCCTCCCTCCCTCCTTCCCTCCCTCCTTCCTTCCTTCCCTCCCTCCCTCCTTCCCTCCCTCCCTCCTTCCTTCCCTCCCTCCCTCCTTCCTTCCCTCCCTCCTTCCTTCCCTCCCTCCTTCCTTTCTTCTCGCCCTCCCTCCTTCCTTCCCTCCTTCCTTCCTTCCTTTCTTTTCTCTCTTTCTTCCTTTCTTCCTTCCTTTCTTTCTCTTCTTTCTTCCTTTCTCTCTCTTTCTTTCTTCTTTTGTTTTAAAGCAAAATAGTTTCAAAATTATTTTTAGCCCTTATGGTAATGCTAAACCCTCAAACTTTTTTTGCTTTGTTTTTCGGTTTTGTTTTTGATAGACATGCCCAGTTCTCTCTGAATGTTGAGAGGGAGAGGAATTCCATGAGGCCTGATTTATCTGTTTGCTGTGCAGGTGTGTGACGACATGCATACCACACAAGATTTCCCAGAAAACCACTCCAGGTGTGGGCAGGATAAGGTGCTCATTCTCTGTGAACACAAGTGAGTCAGTTTTATGTCTGAAGAGAGCTTCTTGAGAATACTTAAAAGGCATTTGAGTTCATGCATTGAAAAGGTAGAGTACTCTAGAAGAAAACCTTGGAAATACCATTTTGGACATCAGCCTTGGCAAAGATTTTATGAATATGTCCTCAAAAGCAATGGAGACAAAAACAAAAACTGACAAGTGGAATCTAATGAAATTAAAGTGCCTCTGCACAGCAAAAGAAAGTATCAACAGAGTAAACAGACAACATACAGAATGAGAAAAATATTCACAAACTATGCATCAGAGGTCTAATATCCAGAATCCATAAGGAACTTGAGCAAAAATGAAATAACTTTAAAAGTGGTCAAAGGACATGAACAGACACCTTTCAAAAGAAGACATACAAGCGGCCAACAAACATATGGAAAAATGTTCAGCATCACTAATTATTAGAGAATGCAACTTTTTTTTTTTTGAGATTGAGTATTGCTCTGTCACCCAGGCTGGAGTGCAGTAATGCAATCTCAGCTCACTGCAACCTCCACCTCTCAGGTTCAAGTGATTTTCCTGCCTCAGCTTCCCAAGTAGCTGAGATTACAGGCATGTGCTACCACACCTGGCTAATTTTAGTATTTTTAGTAGAGACAGGGTTTCACCATGTTGGCCAGGCTGGTCTCCAACTTCTGACCTCATGATCCACCTGCCTCGGCCTCCCAAAGTGCTGGGATTACAGGTGTGAGCCACTGAGCCCAGCAAGAAATGCAAATTAAAATCACAATGAGTTACCATTTCACAACACTTGGAATGGCTATGATTAAAAAGTTAAAAATGAAGGATGCTGCTAAGGCTGTGTAGGAAAGGGAATGCTTTACTGTTCCCTTCGGTGGGAATACACTGTTGGTAAGAATGTAAATTAGTTCAGCCACGGCAGCAAGCAGTTTGCAGATTTCTCAAAGAACTTAAAACAGAGCTACCATTCAATCCAGCAATCCCATTACTGGGTATCTATCCAAAGGAGAATGAAGCGTTCTGCCCAAAAGACATGTGCACTCATATGTTAATGACAGTACTATTCAAAATAGCAAAAACATGGAATCAGCCTCGGTGCCCCTCAGTGGTGGAGTGGATAGAGAAAACGAGGTACATATATACCATGGAATACTACATAGCCATAAAAAAGAATAAAATCATGTCCTTTGCAGCAACATGGATGCAGCTGGTTAAGCAAATTAACACAGAAATATAAAACCAGATACCAAGGCCAGGTTCAGTGGCTCAGGCCTGTAATCTTAGTACTTTACGAGGCTGAGGTAGGTGGATTTCTTGAGCCCAGGAGTTTGAGACCAGCCTGGGCAACATGGTGAAATCCTCTTTCTACAAAATTTCCAAAAAATATTAGCCAGGTGTGATGGCATGTCCTTGTAATCCCAGCTAACTGGGAGGCTGATGTGGGAAGATCACTTGAGTCCAGGAGGTGGAAGCTGCAGTGAGTCATGATGTGCCACTGCACTCAAGTGGGACCCTGTCTCAAAAAAAAAAAAAAACAACAACAACCAGAAAAAGCAAAACCAAATACTTATAAGTGGGAGCTAAACTTATAAATATATATAAGTTTTAACTTATATATATAACTTATAAATACTTATAAGTTCTCACTTATAAGTGGGAGCTAAACACTGGATGCACATAGACATTAAGATGGGAATGATAGACACTGGGGACTATTAAAGAGAGAGGAAGGGGGACAAGGACTGAAAAACTACCTCTGGGATACTATGCTCACTACCTTCGTGATGGGATCATTCACACCTCAAACCTCAGCATCATGCAATATACCCAGGTAACAAACCTGCGCATGTACCCCCCGAATCTAAAATACAAGTTGAAATTATTATTTAAAAAAAATGTTGGCTCACACCTGTAATCCCAGCACTTTGGAAGGCTGAGACGGGTGGATTACGAGGTCAGGAGATCAAGACCATCCAGGCCAACACGGTAACATGGTGAACATCTACTAAAAAAACAAAAAATTAGCCAGGTGTGGTGTCACGCACCTGTAGTTCCAGCTACTGGGGAGATTGAGGCAGGAGAATCACTTGAACCCCAGGAGGCAGAGGTTGCAGTGAGCTAAGATTATGCCATTGCACTCCAGCCTGGGAAACAGAGTGAGACTCCATCTCAAAAAAAAAAAAAAGAAGGTGGTGTACTCAGAGAAACACTGGTCTTCCATGATGAGCAGAACATGGGTGAAATATTGCTTAGAAATTGACAATTGCGGTTTTTGAAAGTCTTTTCCTAAAGACCTCCTTTTTGTCTTTTTGTATGTGCAGTTTTCATTCTCATGTCTTCCTGACGTTGAACCACTTTTTTTCCCTTGAGACTTTCATCCAAGCTTTTCTTCTATAAAGCCTAAGAAAGAGTAAGCTACCTTGTCACTGTATGTGCACAGCATCTTGTGGACGTATTTTAGGACTGAGCCATTTTTTAGGTATATGACCTTCAGCATGATTAGTGCTTTGGTAAATAACAAAGATTTAATAAATGCTGACTATTACCATATAAAATTGTAACTGATTTTTTTTTTGAAACAGAGTTTTGCTCTATCACCCAAGCTAGAGTGCAGTGACACAACCACGGCTCATTGCAGCCTTGACCTACTAGTCTCGAGTGATCTTCCTACCTCAGCCTTCGGAGGAGCTAGGACTACAGGCATACACCAGCATGCCTGGTTAATTTTTTTAGTTTTTATGGAGACAGGGTCTCACCGTGTTGTCAGGGCTGGTCTCGAACTCATGGGCTCAAGCTATCTTCCCACCTTTGCCTGCTACAGTGCTGAGATTACAGGTGTGAACTACTGCACCTGGCTTTATTATTATTACTAGAAACAGGATCTCACTATGTTGCCTGGGCTGGACTCCAACTCCTGGACTCAAGCAATCCTTCCACTCTAGCATCCCAGGTAGCTGGGACTGCCAGGTACACACCACTGTGCCTTGCTTGTAACTGATCTTTAAAAAAAAAAAAAAAAAAAACATAAAAATTTTAGATACAAAAAAGTTTAGAGAATAGAATAATGAGCCTCTAAGTCCCAGAAAATTTGACTGCTTTTCAGAATATTATGCTCATTATAAGAGGAAGGCAGTGGGTCAATTTTGAATCGAGTTCTGTACTCTGGAAACTGCTAGCAGATATGGGGCACAAGCAAAGGGAAGTGTATCCTTGCCTATAATATTTGGTGGGGAAAAAAGTTCATTGTACTTATTATGATGAAAAACTACAGGTAGGAGAGATAAGAGCTGATACATTTGAGACCCACTTGGGTCCTGTCCCACAGTCCCTTCTGTTCCAAAATACTTATAAGCCTCAAAGAGACATGGTGGTTACAGGTTTGGACCCTGGAGATGGACAGGCATGGATTGGATTCAGCTTTGTTACTTAGGAAAAATTTAAGCCTTTATTTCCTCATCTGAAAATAAAAAATGGGTCAAATAATAATGCCTGTCTCAGAAGTTTGTTCCGATAATTAGACACTGTTAGGTACATAGAGAACTTGGTATAGCCCATTTTTCATTGATTTTGAGATTCACACTTTAACGTCTCTGAAATATGTCTAACAATCACTAATGTCATGATTTAGTCGCTAGCATTTTCTTTCTCTCTGGGAAATTCACAAAATAATGGTGAACTTTATGATTGATGGGTCTTAGATTTCATGAAATATTATAGCAAGTGGTTAATAAATATTAGTAATCAAAATAATGATGAGTTCCCTTAATTCTCCCAATCAAAGTTCGTATCACAGAAATTTGCTCTATTTTGTCTGTCATTGAGGAACCGTGTAAACTTGGGCAAACCTTTTAACTTCTGTTGGGATTCTGTCTCAGAATCTCTGTTCCTTCCAGCATTAAAGTCCTAAGATATGAGGGGTTCTTTGAAAGTCAGTTAAGATGAGACCAATGTAAGTGTGCAAGAATGTGCAGGGCACCTCATTGTACTCATAAGCAGTCCGTGGGATGAATCCTTTTGTCTCCATGAAAGAAACAACTCTTTCACACTGCTGCTCTGGCACATCCAGGACATCTGGCCACCAAAGCAGATGTATGGAATGGAAGTCCCTGGCTTCCTGTCTGTCATGGAGATAATTATGTAGTTCTGGGAAATTCTTCTCTAGTGGTCTAGCCATGTGGTTGGCATAGCAAGATGGCAGTGAGGACATAAACAACTCTAAGAATGATCGGAGACATTCAGTGGGCATTGGCTTTTCTGAAACGCCACCCTCATCTTGTTGCCAATTTGTCATTATTTTAAACTTTTTAGACTAAAGTTTCTACCCTTAGAATTGCCCCTCTGGGTTATACAACAAAACTGGGAGCTTAGTAAGTGTTAAAAAATATTCAATATGGGATCACTGAAGGGGCGTAAGAAGGGATGTCTTCTCCAGTCATCTCCATGATCACATGAACATGAGACCATTATCTGGCTAGTGGTCTCCACGAAGAGTTGGAAACCATTGAAGTTCTAGTCTTGAGGATTCAGTCATCATGGGGTGATGGGTAAAATGATAGCAGGAGAGAGGAAATATGGTCGAAACAGTTCCTGGGATATTTGACAAGGGAGGAAGTTATCTAAGAGACACTAGTGAGAAAGTGAATATGCTTAGGTGAATGCCACCTACATTGTTATTTTGCATAGGGCCATCTTGGATAAATCTAGGTATGATATGTCTGTAGTAAATTGTGTTTTTTTCAGAGTATTTCTATTTATATTACCTCATTTTACAATAGTTTTGTGATGTATGTTGGGCAACTATTACCAGGGCTGATTCACAAGTGAGGAAGTAAATGTGGATCAGCACCACAACAGACCTAGGAATGGGGCCAGGATCCACACTCTGCTCTCCCCATTCCCAAGTCCATCCTTTTTCTGCTTTTTAAAGGTGCCTTGCTTGCCTTGTTTCTGCAAGAGTGAGGTTTGGCTCACCGCTGAACCTCACTCTTGCAGAAACAAGGCAGGCAAGGCACCTTCCTCACGTTACAAACCAGGTCTCCAAATGCAGAATTGGTCTGATATATTTCCGTGAACTGAGCACCATAAATTTAGTCTACATTGTCATTATTATGTGTTGTGATGATATTTTTCTTTCTCTTCCAGAAAATGCACTCTGCTCTTTAACATACAGACTAGATCTGCAGGAAAAAAAAGAAAGAAAAAAATTAAAAAATATCAGAAAGGACTAATGCTTTCTGTTTTCAGAATATGGTAAATTTAATTTTCTCCTGAAAGTTTCTGTAGAATGATGGTTTATTTCTGGCATGGAATGTAGCCAGAGTTTCAATGGGAAATAGAGAACTCTGAAATGAGTGAACTCTATTCCAGAGAGAACATTAGAGAGAGATAAGGTTTGCCAGCAGAGTGGACTCTCCAAAGACAAAACTTCTGGTTTTGCGTGTGTCCCAACTTTGGCTGTTAACCTCAAACTGAGAGGCAATGGTATAACCTGGAAACCTACGGAGAACTGGGCTGAGATTTTCTTCTAAGCAGGTCAAATCAATTCCAAGTGTCATTGTTCTCCCTCCAGTCTTAATCAATATTCAGGACTTCGGGAGAATGATGCCTTGAACAATAATTAGTGGTGATGGGGGTACTACACACTTTGCTGGTCATCAGCATCCCCGGCTTGTTAAGAATGCTTTCATAGAATGTCAATACAAAGGAGGCTTTTTTGGTTTTCTTTTTAGATTCTTTTATGGTTTTAAAAATATTTATTGTTATTATTAACCCTTTGTAGAGCAGTTAATTGAGCAGAAACTATAGAAAGTGCCTGTATATTCTAGTCCCTTCACCCTTCTCTGCAGCCTCCCCCATAATCAACATCCCCACTAAGCGGCATATTTGTTAAAATTAATGAACCTACATTGATGCATTGTTATCACCTGAAGTCCTCAGTTTACATTAGGGTTCACTCTTGGTGTTGAACGTTCGATAGGTTTTGAAAGTTGTATACTGATAACTATCCACCATTGTAGTATTATACTGAAGAGTTTTACTGCTTAAAAAATCCTCTATGGGCTCATGCCTGTAATCCCAGCATTCTGGGAGGCTGAGGCAGGCGGATCACTTAAGATCAGGAGTTTGAGACCAACATGGTGAAACCCCGTCTCTACTAAAAATACAAAAATTAGCCTGGCGTTTGGTACCCACCTGTAGTCCCAGCTACTTGGGAGGCTGAGGCGGAAGAATTGCTTGAACCCAGGAGGCCGGGGTTGCAGTGAGCCAAGACTGCACCACTGTGCTCCAGCCTGGCAACAGAGCAAGACTCTGTCTCAAAAAAAAAAAAAAATGTTGTTCAAACTCTATTTGTTGTAACATCCAAACACAGATATAAAAGTCTTCAGCATATAGAACCTCCACCCTATAATGTTAATAAAAACAGGAAGGAAATTCGCTGGCAGAATCATTGGAAACTTTCAGGTGTGATTTTTTGGAGGTGAACATGGGGGCAGAGGCAGAGTCAATTATTTTTTAGGAGTTTCATTGGATTTTAAAAACCTTTTCTTTCAAAGTTGTTAACTGAAATGTCATAAATGAGTTACATTGTTCACTGATCCCTTCCCCAAACAAAGAAGAACTTGCTACTTGGAGGCCCCTGATCAATCACGAGAGATTGAAGTGCAAGAAAGGAAACATTGTTGACTGGAGATGTTGTTCCTACACCTCCACAGGCTTTTCAAGTATCTTGGCAAATATAGTTAAATAAAATATAAAAAAAAAGATTGTAGTTGTCTTGCTTTTTCTCTCTGTCTGCATTTCAGATGTAATGAGAAGAAAATCACTAATTTATGATAATCTTATATAGCTGAGTTTGATAAGAATGATTAGAAATGCTTCCCAATAAAAAAGAAAGAAATCAAAGTCCAATAAAGACCCAGAAGAGAATAGAAATTACTAAAAGTTACAGGTTTTAAAAATGTAGTTTCAAGATATTTATCTGAAAAATCATAGATCAGTGTAGATAAAAATTAACATTGTCCTTCCATATTAGCATTTGGTGTTACCACTTGACAAATACTTAAATGTTGAATGTCTGATGAGAATTTATTTCCCAATTAGATTTTTTAATTGTTTATTTTCACGTTTCTTGAGGCAAGCGGTATAGAATGTAGTGGCCAAGGTCATGGTGCAGGAGTGGTTTGAAGCCCTGCTTCTCTACTTACTGTGTGTCTGACCATAGGCAAATTACTTAACCCCTCTCCTCCCCAGTTTGCTCATCTGTAAAATGATGGTGATGAGAGTCCTTATCTCTTGCGGCAATAATGAGGATTCAATAGGACAGCTCACATAAAACTCTTAGAATGGGGACTGGCATTTAGTAAGAGCTCAATAAATGTTAGCTATTTTTATTTTAAGTTCCGGAATACAAGTGCAGAATGTGTAGGTTTGTTACATAGATACATGTGTGCTGTGGTGGCTTGGTGTACCTGTCAACCCATCATCTAGGTTTTAAACCTCGGTTACAATACTATTTGTTTCAGCGCTCTCCCTCCCCTCGCCCCCTACCTCTGACAGGCCCTGGTGTGTGTTGGTTCCCCTCTCTGTGTCCATGTGTTGTTCTCTTCGTTCAACTTCCACTTCTAAGTGAGAACATACGGTGTTTGGTTTTCTGTGCCTGTGTTAGTTTGCTGAGAATGATGGCTTCTGGGTTTATTTTACTTATGTCATGCCAAACCGTACAATGTTATGAAAATTACTGTGATTATTGATCAAACACATAGGCCATTGGAGGAAAAATAAAATAAATTCTCAATGTTTACAGAAGAATACAGGAAACTGCTTTTCTTAAAATGTATTCACATGGTCTTTCATTTCTAAAGAAGCTGGTGTTGGCCAGGCACGGTGGCCCATACCTGTATACCTGCACTTTGGGAGGCCAAGGCAGAAGGATTGTTTGAGCTCAGGAGTTCCAGACCAGCCTGAGCAACACAGTGAGACCTTGTCTCTAGAAAAAAATTAAAAAATTATCCCAGTATGGTGGTGCATGCCTGTAGTCCTAGCTGCTCGGGAGATTGAGGTGGGAGGATTGCTTGAGCCCCGGAGTTTGAGGCTACAGTGAGCCATGATTATGCCATTGCACTGCAGCCTGAATGACAGAGCAAGACCCTGTCTTAAAAAAGGAAGCTGGTGTTAATCTCCCCTTCATGTAACCCACTGCACAGATGTGTGTAGCTCCAAGTGCACACAGCCTTCCGTCTCTCGGCCTAATGTAACAGGACAGTGGAGCTGGCGGAATTACAGGCAATTTCAACGAGGGGGAATAGGTAGGAAGGAAACAGCTGGAAATCCCTGGAGTAACCTTACTCGTCTGATCAAATGTACACGTCACACTGGCAGAACTCTTGTTCGTGTTCGAAACCAAAGGTTGGTAAACTTTTTCTGTAAAGGACCAGATAGTAAATAGTTTTAACTTTTGGGCCATACGGTATGTATCATAACTGCTCAGCTCTACTTCTGAAGCACAAAAGCATCATAGATAACAAGAAAAAAATGAATTGTGGCTGCCTTCCCATCAAACGGTACATACAAAAGCTGGGGTGGGTCACGGTTTGCCAACCCCTGATCTGGAATACACCTGAATGTGGTGCATAGCCTTCATTACGTTTCTTGTAATGTCTCAAATTGAAGCTGGAGGTCCTTTATTCCCCTCTGAGATTCCTTCTTCCACTCTCCCCCCACATTTTCTATCTGCAGCTTTATTCTGGTGGTGACCCAAAAGGCCAAGGCTTGGCTCCATCCCGCAGCACAGCAGGATATTGGCACAGACTCAACCCTCCCAGGTTCTCAGAATGGAGCTCATCCAAAGCTAAGCCTCTTGATGATATTGATGACCTCACAGAGCTCAGTGCTTAGTATATTTTGTTTTTTGAGATAGGGCCTTGTTCTGTCATCCAGGGTAGAGTGCAGTGGCACAATCTCAGCTCACTACAACCTCTAGCTCCCTGGACCAAGTGATCCATCCATCCCAGCATCTGAAGTAGCTGGGACCACAGGCACAAGTCACCAAGTCTGGCTAAATTTTCTATTTTTTATAAAGATGGGGTTTCACCATGTTGCCCAGGCTGGTCTTAAATTGGGCTCAAGAAATCTTCCTCTCTCGGCCTCTCAAAGTGCTGGGATTACAGGGATGAACCACCATGCTTGGCCAAGTAATTAGTTTTTAATGGAAAATCAGTCTGTATCTTTTAAGATCTTTGGAAAGATATCCATTCTTCTTCCCTCACGGCAGCTAGCACAATGTCCTACACCCAATAAGTATTTGTTGATGTTAGTTTGAGGTCATGGCAACTGTGACTTTATCCCTTTGTACATTAGTTTGGTGAAGACCTGGCTTTCTAGTTCCAGAAGCAGAACTGAAGCAAATTCCTTTTCTTTTGGTAAAACAGACCTTTTGCGAAGAGACACAGACTCTCACAAGAAAACAAACCTGTCTTCCTGAGACTCATAGGGGAGTGAGTGGGGAGGTGTTGGAATCCTCAGGGGAAATTATGGGTTATGGTTTCTTTCTGCTCTAGATAAGGGTTCGGCGCAGGCAGATCCTGGAAAAAGTGGAGTCCTTTATTGCCCAATGGGAGATGGCATTTCCAGGAGCAGTCCTGGCTGGTGCAATGGTGGCTGCTTGTACAGCTTCTTCTGGCTCTTATAGGGAGATAGCCAGGGCAGCTCTCTAAAGAAAACAGCTGGGTAGAATCCTTATCCTTATCAACATGGCTAGACCACAGGGGCTGGTGGCCTTATCATATCAGGGCAACCAGTGATTTCACCATGTCACCAACTACTCCTTTAGAAACCACCACATTGTGACATTTCAAGCATAACACTAGTGCCCAAATCCATTCTGCCATATTATAACTCAGCTGCATCAGCAAGTTTATTGCTAAAGGCCTAGAGTCTCAAATACTTTATGAGACAGCCTGAAGATGTAAGAAAGTAAGTCTAATTTCACCATAGCATTTACTTGGCTGTGTGTACGTGCACACGCCAGGTCCCGGGAACGAGGAAATTTCCCCCAAAAAGCTCTAACCAATTCACTTTAGTAATTTCTTGTTTGTTTCACTCTGATACTGAGTTTTCTTCTCATTCAAACATTCATTTATTCATTGAAATACTAAAAAATATTAGTCGAGTGTCCTCTATGTATCTATCCATTGTCCTAGGTACTGTGGATACCACTGTAAATAAAACATGTAAAACACTTGCTTTCATGAAGTTTATATGCAAGCCTGACAAAGAAATATGCAAGTGAAATATGCAAATGTCAGATGTTGCTAAGTGCAATGGAGATCAATGAAGTAGGGAAGGTGGTGAGATAGCTGCAGAGATGTAGACTGGTTGGGTGGGGGGTGCTGTGAGCAGCGGGACTCAATTCCTCCCAACCTGGCCCCTGTCACTCATTCAGACTAGTGCATCCCTCCAGAGAGCCACCCTCGATCATCCTGGGCCTTCACAGAGGCTACCCTCCTGCCCTTGTCCCTACTCACTTAGGCGACCCCTCCTCACACCGCAGGGCTCAGCACACTGGCCTCCAGAAAGCCCCACTTCTTCCCTCACCAGCGCTGACCTGAGGCCCAGGCCACTCTTCTCTGGCCCCCACTTCACCTGGTGCTTCTCACGCTGAAGGAGCTTCATGTCTGGGGGGGCCTTCCTGAAGTGGCTGTGGGCTCATGGAGGGTGGGGTATGTCTGTTTCCTCTGTGTCCATTACATAATCTCAACCACATGAGGAAGGAAAAACCCTACAAGAAAAGGAAAATATTCTCTCCCTTCTCAATGGTTGAGATCAACCATTGAGAGATGAAAGAAAAGGAATTGAATATTTTGCATGTAGACATTAGGAGATCTTCAAAATCCAAAAGCTATTTCAGATTTTGAAATTACAAATGATTGAAAACCACCATGGCACATTAAACCTATGTAACAAACCTGCACAATCTACACATGTACCCCAGAACTTAAGAGTACAATAAATATAGAAAAAGAAACTACAAATGAAAATGCTGTTGAAGCGTTGTACCAGTTTAAATAGCTAGGAAACGAAATATCAACCTCTATAATCCAGCTAGACAAAAGCACTTACTTTTTAAAAGAGGAAGATGTTTTGGGGACCAAAAGAGAGAAAACCTCTATGAAAGATCCCCAGCCATGATTGGCCCCTGCTTTGCTCTGAGCTCATGAAAAGCCTTTGTGATGTCATAACAGACAGGCCTATATAAGGCCCTGGCTGGGTCATGGTTTTTGGTCTGAGAAATCCCTGGAAGCTTTTTTGGTGACCTGTGGACTCAGACCAGCTTAGCGATTACGAGTTGTTTGGCGGGGTGGGGGGAGTTTTTGTGGGAGGGGCGTTGTTGTGTTTTTTAGTTAGTATAGTTAATATAGTTGGTACTGTTTCTTAGCATTTTAGTGTTCTTTGGGATAGTTAGTATTGTTAATATTTTAGCATAGTCCATACAGTTAGAGTAGTTACTTGTATATAGTTAGTGTAGACAAAGTAGGCACCATGAGGCAGGGCTTGGCCTCCACCTCACCTGCCCTGCGGCCACCTTATTATCAAATACTAAACTTTATAGGCCGTGGTGCCTTTGGGGAGGTCACGCTGGCCCGCCACTTAATGACTGGCACCCGGGTGGCGGTGAAAACAATCGACAGAACCGGCTTCCTCTCTAGCCACAGAGAGATGACTGTTTTACAGTCGGTGAGCCACCGAAACATCATTAAGTTATATCATATTATTAACAGCAGAGAGGCGTGCCATTTCGTTCTAGAATACGCTGCAGGAGGAAGCCTGTCTAACTGGATTGAACGAAATATCGTGGAGGAGGAGGAGGCCCGAGGCATGTTCCAACAAATGCTGTCCGCCGTGAGGTACCTCCACCGCCGCAGCATCGCTCACCGAGACCTAAAACCAGACAACATGCTGTTAGATGTTAAAGGAAACATTAAAATTGCGGATTTTGGATCGGCCACGAGTTACCATGAGGGGCAGAGGCTGACAATAGCTCATGGGACCCTGGCCTACATGGCCCCAGAACTCTTCGGGGCCCAGGGCTATGAATGCCCCGCCCTGGACATATGGAGCCTAGGCGTCACGCTGTTCCAGATGGTGTCCAACAACCTGCCCTTCTTCGCAGTGAGTCGTACGCAACTGAAACGCCTAATTCTATCTGGCCAGTATGCTAGCCCGCACTATTTTTCTGAAAACCTTAAAAGACTAATTAAAAACCTTTTAACTCCTGATCCCAATGAGCGGCCGACAGCAGACAAAGTCATGGGGGAATCATGGGTGAACAACGGCCTTCACAGGAAGTCAGACCCCCAGCATGCCCCCACGGCCTCCCTGACCATCGAGCACACTTGTGGAGATTTAGAAAACTTGGCACGGCAAGCCCTCCAGTGTGACCGTGTGGCCTCCTCCATTGTAAGCGCCATAGGCGGTGGTGGTGCTTTAGAAACCTTGGCAGAGCAAGCCCCCCAGCGTGACCTCGTGTCTGCAGCCTCCACCAAGTGCTCCACCGGCAGTGAAAATTTAGAAACTTTGGCTCAACCAGCCCTCCCGCATAACCTCACGGCCGCCTCCACCCAGATCACCACCCAGAGCACCGTGGCTCAACAACCGGGACACGAAGGCAGCGTCCTCCAAGCTGGGCAGCCCGAGGCTGTGTTGGCCCGGCCAAGAAGAGGCTGGAGCTGCCGCAGGGCTGCCCGAAGGTGCATTGCCATAATAAGGAGATGCTGCTGCTGCCTGTGCCCATCCAAGAGGCAGAGTAAGAGGGCCCACCCAAGAGAAAAAGTAAGTAGGTGGGCGGTGAAGCCGCACTTCTTGCATTTTACTATATTTATTCTGTCTTTATTAGTATTGTTTTAATTGGCAAATCATGCTTGTACATTCATGGGGTGCAGTGTGAGGATTAGATAGATGTGTGCACCGTGGAATGAGGAAATCCCACTACTCAGCATCTCCACCACCTCAGAGAGACCAATTCCACGTGATGCCCCGCAAGTGTTGATCTAAACAAGTTGATCCCATTGAAGTAGCCAGTAGATGGATGGTGATCCAGGGCCGGAGAGTGGCAGAGGGAGGGAATGGGGGGGTATTGGTCAAAGGACCAAAGTCTAGACAGGAGGAAGAGGTTTTGACTCTAGTGCACAGCAGGGTGACCAGAGTCAATAAGAACGTATTGCATTTTGCAAAACATGTTCATGTCAAATGTCTCTGCATTTAGATTGGAGAGGACGAAGGCCCTGAGGTCCAGGAACATTGAAACCTGAGATGCCCAGGAGCAACGTTGGAGCCTGCAGCACTTTATATAAAAAAAATATAAAAATAAATTTGTCATTCTGATAAATGACCATTTCTTGCTTCTTGCAAATTTTGTAGTAGCATTGGAAAGGTGGCACGTGGGTTGCAGACACTCTGCTGCTTTCTGCCCTCCCTGCACAGGACCGGGGCTAGAGAAGGGCAAGGCTGGAGGTAAAGGAAAAGGCAGATTTACTAGCACCTGCCTTAGTTGAAAGAAAAGCGGGGATAATGAAAGGATGGAGGAGGACGTGGAAGAGAGCAAGAAAAAGATATAGCTAAACCAGAGTCTAAAACCTGGTCCAGACTGGAGAGAGTTCAATGTGCAGTGTGGAAAAAGAAAGGACATTGAAAGCATGCATGCCCCAAAAGAATGGTCTATAAAGATCATGCGGTTTACCCCCATGCAATACCTAATGGTGGGATATGATCCAAACTGGTGGGTCACTGTCTTACACTACTACTATTGTGGCTGTAAGAGTATCAGGTAAAAACGAACAAAAACCCTTATGCCAATCAAAATATGTCACTGGAAGACAAGAGGTGCGGCAGAAGTTCTTATATCTTCCCAGCTGCCCTGTTCCTTTGTTGGGGAGGAATCTGCTCCAAAAACTACAAGTACACATTTCTTTTTTTTTCTTTTTTCTTTTTTTTTTTTTTTTGAGAAGGAGTTTGGGTCTTGTTACCCAGGCTGGAGCCGATCTCGGCTCACCGTTAACTTCTGCCTCCTGGGTTCAGGTAATTCTCCTGCCTCAGCCTCCCGAATAGCTGGGATTACAGGCACACGCCACCATGTCCGTTAATTTTCACCATGCCCAGCTAATTTTTTGTATTTTTAGTAGAGACGGGGTTTCATCATGTTGACCAGGATGATCTCGATCTCTTCGATCTCTTGACCTCGTGATCCACCCGCCTCAGCCTCCCAAAGTGCTGGGATTACAGGCGTGAGCCACCGCGCCCGGCCTGTGGTTTGCATTTTTAAAGCTCCCTGGGCTGCCCAGAGGAAAGGCTGTAGGGGGCGGGCATGAAACAGGTAGGCAGGTTTCCGAGGCTGCTTCCGACGTGGTGCGGGGTCGTCTGGCAGCGGCTACGAGGGGGAACCAAGGGAGTACTTACCACTAGCGGGAGGGCCTTGGCCAATACCTCTGCTCAGTGGGGAGCCAGGCCCTGCCCCAGGTGGTACCTCCTATCTTGCCCGAAGTGAGGGGCTTGTAAGGAACTTTCTCTCCGTCATCCGCCGGGTGGAGCGGAGCTCTCTGGGGTCTGGAGTCCGGGAAGAGTCAAAGGCTTGTGAGCGGCCCAGGCGCGGGCGCCTGCGGCGGGAGGGCGGGACCAGGAGGTTGGCATCGCAGGGCCTGTGCGCACCGAAGCGCAGCAAGTAAGTCTCAGCCAAGACTGCCCGGCTACCACCAGCTCCTGCGGAGCGTGCCCACCTGGGCGTGCACGCGCATCTGGGAACTGCCAAGCCGTGCCACATTTTCTCTCCTTCTGGCCTGGCCTTCAGAGTTCGACCCGCAGCGGCTGAGCCAGGGCCTCCTCTACTGAAGGCAGCTCCCAGGGCTTCAGAAACTTGCAGTCAGTGGTGGGAGAGCCGGAACAGACCTGCGCAATAAGAACCAGATGATGATGTTGCTGTAGTATAGTTTGCAGAGTGCAGAGAAGGGAGCAAACGGTGACAGCAGAGAGGAATCCAGAAGGCTTCCAGGAGGAGGCACCATTTGTGATTTGGGGTTGTAGCAGGAGGAGGAAGTTGACAGGTGAATAAGGGGAGGGCATGCCTGCCAGGCGAGCCATCTGTGATGGGGAAATATCCAGTCTGCACCATGACTCCACTGTTCACTTTCCTGACTAAGTAGGAACCACTGGACTCCTCTCTTGTCCCGGGCCTTTTTGTGTAGTCCATCCTTTATTTTATTTTATTATTATTTTTTGAAATGGAGTCCCGCTCTGTTGCCCAGGCTGGAGTGCAGTGGTGTGATCACAGCTCACTACAACCTCTGCCTCCCCGGTTCAAGCGATTCTCCTGCCTCAGCCTCCTGAGTAGCTGGTATTATAGGAATGCGCCACCACCCCTGGTAATCTTTTTTTTTTTTTGAGACGGAGTCTTGCTCTGTCCCCAGGCTGGAGCACAGTGGCGTAATCTGGGTTTACTGCAACCTCTGCCTCCCGGGTTCAAGCAATTCTTCTGCCTCAGCCTCCCGAGTAGCTGGGACTACAGGCCTGTGCCACCACGCCCGGCTAATTTTTGTATTTTTAGTAGAGACGGGGTTCCATGTTGGCTAGGGTGGTCTCGAACATCTGACTCAGGTGATCCGCCCACCTCGGCCTCCCACAGTGCTGGGATTGCAGGCATGAGCCCTCGTACCCAACCCACCTGTTTATGTTTAGCTCATTTTCTCCCCGCCATCCATCCCCCTCCATACCCCCACTCTGCCTTTGCTGGAGCCCTAAATCACCACCCTGGCCTTCCATCCTCTCAAGGCATCTGCCCCATCACTGCCAGGGTGCTCTCTTCCTTGCTCCCTCTCTGTAACCCCTGCCCACCCTGTACCTCTCAGCCACAGCACCTGCTCCAGCCCTGGTTTCCTCACAGCTGCTTGGTTTTAGGGCTAACAGGATTCACTGCATGTGATTACTTGCTCTTGCCACAGGAGACGCAGCATGAAGGGAGGCCCTGGGGGTGCAGGCAGAGGTTTCAGGGGAGCTTTGTCTCCATGTCTGCAGTGTCCAGCATGGTGTCAGGTTTAATATATGACACTAGACTGAATGAGCAGAGGGTGGCGTGCAGCAAAAGGCTTGAGGATAGGGGTGGGTGAGAGCTGCAGAGGCAGGCAGGTGTTAGACTACACAGAGCCTTACATGCCAACCTATGCAGCTTGGCATTCATCCTCAGAGCAATGGGAGCCAGAGAGGGCTGGAGACCTGGGAGAGTGGCCTGGTAAGATGTCTGGTGAAGGGCCAGGGGGCTAATGTGGAGGCTGTCACAGTGGTCGCAGTGAGCTGTGACAGTGGCGGGTGGGGTGGACAGGAAAACAGAGAAGTGGTTCTCAACTGGGGGCAATTTTGCCACCACCCCCCCAAGCATTGAGCATTGCCTGGAGACACACCAGTGTCACAACTTGGGGAGTGCTACTGGCATTGAGTGGGTAGAGGCCAGGGACGCTGCTCAATATCCTCGGGACAGCCCGAATAACAAGGAGTGATCTGGCCTTAAGTGTCAACAGTGCTGACGGTGAGAAACCCTGCCCTGTGGGAAAACCCAGAGAATCACCTGCAGGGTGTGGAGAAATGGAGCGTATCTCAGCCTGAACTCTTGGAGCCACGCTGAGGCTTGGCTCTTCCGTATTTTAGCCATGTAAGAACCCTGGGCGAGTGTCACTCAACCTCTCTGCACATGGTTTCCTCCTTTTTTTTTTTTGAGATGGAGTTTCCCTCTTGTTGCCCAAGCTAGAAAGCAATGGCATGATCCGGCTCATTGCAACCTCCACCGCCTCCCCCGGCCCCCCCTCCCCACCCTGTGTTCAAGCAATTCTCCTGCCTCAGCCTCTTGAATAGCTGGGATTACAAGCATCAGCCACCACACCCGGGTATGTTTTTGTTTTAGTAGAGATGAGGTTTCTCCATGTTGGTCAGGCTGGTCTCAAACTCCCAACCTCAGGAGATCCTGCTGCTTCGGCCTTCCAAAATGCTGGGATTATAGGCATGTGCTACCATGACCAGCTAATTTTCGTATTTTTACTAGAGATGGGAGTTCACCATATTGCTCAGGCTGGTCTTGAACTCCTGACCACAGGTCATCTGCCTGCCTCAGCCTCCCAAAGTGCTGGGATTACAGGCATGAGTTGCCGTGCTCAGCTGCCTCCTGGGTTCTTTGTTGTTCCTTGCCCACACCCAGCTTACCCTGCCTCAGGGCCTTTGCCCTCACTGTTCCCTCTGCCTTGGAGGCCCTGCCTCTGGGAGTCTATGTGACTCACTACCTCACCTCCTGAGGTCTCTGCTCAGCGGTCACCTTCTAAAGGGGTATTTCTTTTTAATTTTTTAAATTTTTATTTATTTTTTATTTTTTTGCAGAAATATGTGCAACTAAAGGAGTATTTCTAAACCACACAATGTTTAAAAAAAAAAAAAAAAAGGCAATGGGTGCTCTGGCTCACTCTGGCAACCAATCCCAGCACCTAGGGAGGCCAAGGTGGGTGGATCACTTGAGCCCAGGAGTTCAAGACCAGCCTGGGCAATATAGCAAGGCCCTGTCTCAAACAAAAATCAAACATAAAATATTCCTTAAGTATTGCTTGAATGAATGGTATGAGTGAAAAACTACCAGGAGTCAGAGAAGTAGGAAGGAAATGAAGAGAAGATAGGATAGTAGACAGCAGTGCAGGGGCTGAGTGGACCCTGGGAGAGGCTGGGGTCCTGGCCTGGCCTGGGCATGAAGCCTCAATCATCTGCCCTCCCCAGGCCCTTCCACCCAGGCCAGCTCTGTTTTACCAGCTCCTAGACATGGCTCCTCTAGCCCAGGCAGATGGCCAGGCCTGAACAGAGTGTCCTTACCCTTCTGATAAGCTGCTTCCTTTCAGGGCCACAAAGGGCAGAATGTGTCCTGCTGCTCAGGAAGTGCCCAAGAGCCTGGACAGGCCCCTGGAGTGGGCAAGGGGCTGGGCATTTGCCACCTTGGCAGCTACCCTGTGCAGAGGCAAAGCGGAGAGGAGCAAGGGGCAGGGACCAGGTCAGATCCCTACCCTTCCCCAACATGCCCTACTCCTCACAGTCAGCAAATCTCCATTTTTAAATTTTTACTTTTTGAGATGGAGTTTCACTCTTGTTGCCCAGGCTGGAGTGCAGTGGAGTAATCTTGGCTCACTGCAACCTCTGCTTGCTGGGTTCAAATGTTTCTCCTGCTTCAGCCTCCTGAGTAGCTGAGATTACAGGTGCCTGCCACTATGCCTGGCTAATTTTTTCTATTTTTATTTTATTTATTTTATTTTTATTATTTTTTTGAGATGGATTTTCGCTCTTGTTACCCAGGCTGGAGTGCAATGGCGCAATCTC